ATCCAGGCGGAGTCCGTCGTCTTGCTGGGTCCACCATCGGAACGGCGCGCGTCAGGTGGCCCTCTAGTTCAACCGGGCGGCGACACCTCACACTGTGTGCTTCGGTCCTCCGTCGGCTCAGCGCGAACATGTCAACCATGGTGAAACGGGCCGGTGCCCGCGAACAGACGCGCGCAAGCAGAAAGCGTTTTTGGTATCTTCAGGGGCCGCCGGTCTCTCTAGAACACGCAGATCTCACACATGCTCCTAAGTATGCCTTGCCTGGAGCGAGATTCGTTTCCAGCAGTGTGAACCCGGGGCGGAGCAGAACCCTATCGGTGACGGTTTGGCTCCATCCCGAGCGAAAATTCGCCGCTTAGGAGAACGGAATCCGTCACGTGCGGACAAGCGCATGCAGTCCACGTGTGCGCGCCGCTGGCTGACGCCAGGACATGGCAGGTCCGCAGGCAAACGGCAACGCGGCTGCGTGCCTTGGCCGCTTGAGAGCAATTTGCACCCCGCGATGGACTAATACGGTGTGTAACTCAGAGGGCCCCCCCTTCAGCCTGAACCGGTGCAAGCGATGGGCGTGCCTGCGGGTGCGGGAGCGGGAACGTCAGTTGGAACAAATGGGCTCCCGTCTTCCATCTGTCGTGTTTCCGCAGCGCTAGGCCGCAGTTGCCCACGCCTCGAGGCAAATTTGCCCGTGCCGGTGACGTCCTTGCGGAGGGCCTGTTCCGCCTCGCGCTCGGTCCGAAGGGTGTCCGCCTACCGGCAGCGCGCTGGTCAGCGCGGCGATCCTGTGGCCGCGCAGTGTTTGGTGATGGGTACCGACCCTCGGCGTCGACGAGATCGGGGTGGCTGACATTGGGAGCGTTGACCATGGCCGGGCCAATGGATCCGGCGGTTCAAGGCCCAGCGTGAAGTTACTGGACATGGCGCGCCGTCAGCGCCCTCTGTCCCCCGTATCCCCGTTTCGCTGCCTCCCCCCACCCGCAAACCCCGTCTTCCGGGACGGGCCACCGTACACAGCCCAGACAGTGATGCAGTCAGCACATTGAAAATAGGTCTGCTTCAGGGGGTGATTCTGCGGCAAATGTGTGCAGCCATAAAAGATGTCTTTCACAGTTCCACGGTCGCGAATCCCTCCTCTGTCCCGATTAGGCCAAGCGTGACAAAGCGACTTTTGTGTCAGCCCAGAGTTGTTTTTGTTCGTGAGCCTTGCCATCACATTTTGGGTGTCTTTGTCAAGGATGGCGTCTCCAGCATTAGTGAGCCAGTAGTCGACTCAACTCCGACGTTGAACTGCATGTCAGCGGGCTTGTTATTTGCCTTTAAGTTTACGTTCTTGCGTTTACGTTTTTACGCGCAAAATCGTAAATTTGCAAAAAATGCTATTTTTTCGGGCGTTTTTACCTTTTTGCGGCTCGCTGTGACGCCTAGGTTACACGATGGAAGTTGTGTACAGTGATCAGTATTGCGCCCCCTTAAGCGCCCGCAACACAGCGCCCACTTCCCACTCGGCAAGGGCCACGATGGAGTGGAATAAAATTCGTTTTCTGGCTATTCCAGTGCATTACATTGGGGTGTTCTTTTGTTGTATTTAGGTGTTTTTAAGCGCTTTTACGTGTAAAAACGCAAATGTGATGTTTCTTTACGGCGTTATAACAAGCCTGCATTTCAACAAGTCTCCTGACGCGCTTTGGACGGCATTGGGCTCTGCGGGGCTGGCGCGAACAGGTTACCTGGTTTTGCCAATTGCTCGCCATTTCGGTGGCCTACGCACGCTAGTTGCCGCAGCATCATTTGCAACATTGCCCTGCCCTCTTCGTACGAAGCAAAGGTCCATTGCCGATTTGGGTCGCCTGGCCTCGCAGCAGTAATTGACTGCGTGCAGCATGTGGTTTTGCTCACATGCTGACCGGCTCATTCACAGGAAGAATTAAGCTCAGGTTGGAGCGACGAGTGTGGGATTCCTGGTCTGAGTGATGCAAGGAAGCGCTCGAACGCTGCAATGACTGATTCTGCCGATGACTAAGCGGTGCAATCTTTTGCGAGTCCAACAGCGCGAGCACACTTGCAGGCCTGCGCAGGTTGACATATTGTTTTCCTACTGTTCGCCGTTTCAGAACTCCAAACATTCGGGGATTGCCAAACTCGCAACCGCACGGCGATTGCATCTTTCAACAACGATAGCAATGGAGGAATACTCTCAGAATGTGCATTAGTAAGGCAACAGCATTAGCATGTTGTTGGGAATAGAGACCGCTATTTTGTCGCCGTGCACGGTGCTCTCAAGCAACCTGTTCTTTGTCTTGAGCTGTTTGCTCGATACATAATGATAAGCAAATTTATATCCACAACCAGACGTGGCATTTGTCGCCATTCCCTGTCTTCTGCCATATCACACATTCCCAAAAGTTCCCACACCGCGTCGTCCATCCGATATGGAGCTGTGAACAATCTCCATCACCTCACAACGCCCATTCTCTTGTTCGTAGGCTTTCCGCGAACCAATTCTGTCCCGTGAACCAGTTCTGTCCCAAGCCAGCAGAATGTACCGGGCACCCGTGCCTATGCGCAGCTCCGCACTCCCGTTAATGAACTCACTCGATATTCATCTATTGCAGCGCCGAGGCCACGGGAGGGGTGGCCTTTGCAAGTCTTAGTCCGCCCGATCACGCGTTTCCGCAAGTGTGACCTGGCTGCCCACTCGGTCGAGACCGCATGTACGTCGCCCGAGGAACGTGTGACCGATCAGTCTCTCCGCGGGCGCCCGCCTGCGTGGCCAATGCCCTGCGATGTGTGACAATGGCGGCCTCGGCCCTTGGGACGGCGCTGTGTTGCATACACGCATGACTGATGTCTTTCCCCGAAAGTGTGATCCGCCAACTCCCAATTGGCTCATTGTCCCATCTATGACTTGCGCCGACTTCCACAATCCCGCCGCATCATGGTGATTACAGGAACGCCGCTGGCGACCTCAGAAGCCGACCAGGAAGTCGCCTTGTTGATATGCCCACACATCGGTGGCAGAGGGCACGTTTGTCTGCTGCAGCGCCTCGCCTCCAACCGAGCCGCCGCCAGCCCGCCGTGCGCGACCGGCTGTTCGTGTGTTGTCGGCCTGAAGATCGTCTTCGTGGCTGCGAACGGGTGAGTTGGGGCTTGTCGGCATGTGGCAACCACGAAGCAGCGCGGGAGGGGTGGGCGCGTGTGTGAGTGAGGCACGCCGACGCTGTTGTGGGGCTGTGCGCCGTGGCCTCTGTGCTCATCCGCAAGTCCAAGCACGCTCATGACCAAGCCGAGCTTCACGATAAAGCGGCAGGCCCGTGTTGGTGGGCGTCGTACCCGTAAGCGCGACCAGGCACGGCGCACTGCGCGGCGCTGCCCAGGCGCGCCGAAGCTGTCTCAAGGGTTGCTTTGCGGCCCCTGCGCTCATCTTCCCGTCCGCCAGTCTTGCATGCCCGCTCACGAGCGGGCAGAGCTGCGGATTTAGCATCAGGCCCCTTGTTGGCGGGCATCGTACTCGGGAGAGCGCCCGGCGCTGCGAACTGCGCAGCGCTGCCCGGGCACCGCGCGGACGGCACAGCGGTCCGACCCTGCGGGCTGATTTTGCGTTGGGATCCCTAACGGCGTCTTATCGCTATGGGCGCTCCGTGGCTTCAGTTTCCGGGACTGTCGGGAGCCGACCAGCCTTGGGTCCTTTGCGCGCGATGACTGTCGCCAATGTGACTTTTTGCGACCCGGATCCCTGGTGGCGGGCCAGAGCTTGGCCAAGCGGGCCGTGGCCGCGGGGTTTTCGTCTCGAGCGCGCCGTTTGCGGTTTCGCGCGGCGGAGTCTGGCGCCTGCTGGGGGAAAACGCGCGTCGTCGCTGTCGGTCGTCAAGGCACAGGTGTGGTCACACCGATTCCTACTTACGAGAGGATGGGCGGCTCCGCCGCGGGGGGAGCTGTGGGGTGTCAAGGTTTGCCCCGCGCCGGCACTGATCCCAATGACGCTGATTTATACTCCACCGGGCTGTTTGACCGGGAAATGCTTCGCGCTGCGGGAACGGGCAGCTTTTGCCGCAGGGCAGAGGCCCGGGAGGCGCGCCCGTCGCAGGGACCAAGTTCCGTCAATCATGACGTTGGCGAATGCATGCTGGGTCCTCCGGCCGCTGCGCGATTGCGGGCGCGGTAAAACGTTAAGGTTAGCAATCGGGTCCGTTTGCGCAGAACTCCGTGAACACGACCGACGACAGGAGGCACCCGCGGTACGCAGTACTTTGGGCTGAACCCTCACGTCTCGTGCGGCACCAACACCTTGTCGACGCCTGTCCTTCACAGTCGCATGCAGTGCGAAGTGTGCGCGCGTCATTAGCGCGCAAGGTGACGAATGGGCCTGTGTACTGCTGTCCGGCGCCCTCTGTACGCCCGGATTGCTCCCCGTCACGCCTACCTTACTCCCGTGAACACCATTTGTCACGTTGATCCGCCCTTTCTCCTCGCTATGAGGCCATCAAATCGCCAGTTCTTTTGATACAACATATCTGCCGGTTTGGGGAACCCCGCCCGACGCCCGCAACGTGGGTGCCGGCACCTGCCCGCCAGAGGTACATTATCAACCAGCGCCGCACGCGCAGCTGAAAGCGGTACGAGCTCTCGGGACAGCGCCGGCCAAAACGTTGCGCACCCAGCGCATGTCGGTGACATGCCGCACAAGCCTTGCACGTGCGGTTCCTTTGCGCAATGCCGTCGGGACTCAGCCGCCGATTCCGCAAGAGGGCTCCACGGTGCCATGCTGTGTGTTGGACGGAGTCGAGAGGCGGGGACCAACGGCGGCTTGACAAGGATGCAAAGTGTCTCAGGGGTCATGTGGGGTCGGATGTGCGTGCCTCCTGTGCGCAATGCAGTCGGCACTTGGCCTAACACACAGAACGCCACCAGGGAGCACTTGTTGCACTTGTGGCGAAGTCCGGAGGCTGCGATTGACGGCAGCTTGACATGCGTTCCGGGTGTTTCAGGCGATCCCGTGGGTTGGGATGGGCAAGTCAGGCGAGGGAGAGCCCAGCGATCGGTCCGGAGAACAGGGCGACGCGCCCGGGGATTCCCAAGGCGAGGAGGCGGTGGAAGATGTGTCGGCCAGGAGCACCGGCGGCGAGGAGACGCCCCAGGGGTCGGGGGGGCAGGGGAAGAAGGCCAGGAAGCCCAGGAGGACGCGCACGCCGCACGAGCAGCGCCTCAACAGACTGTGCCAGCAACGATACCGGTGAGCCCGTGTTTGGATCTCGACAAAGCTTGATCCGGCGACTGGGACCCGCCAGCGCAGGGCATGCCTGTTCGCAGATCTGCGAGCCGCTGTGGAGTGGACCCTGCTGAAGCGCTGAAAACCTGTGTCCGATGGCCCCATCTGATCGGGGGCCTAGAAGCACCCACTGAAGCAGGGCTGGTGTCGCCTTCGGGACGCAGTTCAGCCGTTCAGCAGGTCGCCATGGTGCGAGCATTGATCGGTGTTAGGCTGCCATCCCCAGCCGCTCGACTCCAGCAGCCCGCCAATCGAACAATGCCACATCATCAAGTTGTGTGAACACTCTTAAACACATGAATGCGGCTTTCTGTTGGCGAGGCGCGTAATCACTAGGGACAAAAGGGTCAACTAACACGTGTTCAGACGTGTGCAAGTTAACGGGTTTGTGTTATTTTTTTGTTCTTAGCGTGCAGAAATTTGATGAAATGTGTTTTACGTGTGTTCGCAAAAGTGTTATTTGGCCCTTTTTTCCCTAGTGAATGCGGCGTGCCGAACATCTGTTGATCCTGGTGTTCAGGGAACGCCAGAAGAAGAAGAACAAAGAATTGAGCAAATTGACGTCCATATACGAGGAGCGGACGAGAGAGTATGTGCGCCTTGAAAAGGAGAACGAGTTGCTGAGAGCCACGAATGCCAGACTACAAGCAATCGCCGTTGGGCAGGGGGAGTCAATAGAAAGTTTGTCGGGAGTCAGCCTCTCATCGGCCCTTGATGTGGATCTCCTTGCTCCCGGTGAGTTGCCAGCATGGAAGGATGAGGCAAGGGAGCAGGTTTGCCTTGGAATTGGCGCGCCTGATTATGCTCAATTCCCTCGCTTCTGTGGTAAATGAAAGCACCTTATTGAATGAGCTGTGTTTTTGCTCCATGTGCTGTCGTCACGGACATTGGGTCAATGCGCAAGTCGAGCATCAGGCCCCGCTTTACAGTGTTGTGCCTCACGTGTTGCACTTGAAAACTCCACAATCCGAATCTCCACAACTTGAAATTGAAGGGAAATCAGGTCGCCTAGAGGCTTAACGTAACGAGCATCGCCGGCCACCACGGATGGCAAATTATGTTTACGTCTGGAGCCAATGAGGGTGACTTGCTTGGAAGCCAGTAATCCCCACGGAACTTTTTGCTCATGGCTCCGTTTGTGGTTTCCTTCAAATCCGCCCGTCCTGCAGCTTACAGCGTGTGCCCTCCGTGAACGCGAGCCACTGACAACTGGAACAGGGGAACCCAGCTTCGCACCTGGGCCCCTCTCAATCGCGGATGTCAGCACACCCCGCCAGCACCTTAGCCTTCTCCGTTCGTTTTGCAGATATCACAGACGCCTCTGCCGCGGTTCCGACATTCGAACTTGAAGAATTGGAAGAGCTCGAAAGGTCGCTCCACGGCCATTCCAGCCTGGTGACGTCATTGACGACTGGACCCCTGGGCCCAGGACAACAGTCGCTTAGCGGCGAGCTCCCCTCGGTCGAGTCTTTACAGGCTCCCGCAGCCGGAATTCTGCCCACTGGGTTCCTAGAGCCCCCAGCCACCACCGCCCTTCGCTTCACTGGGCCATCCATTCTCTCCCAAATGCGCAGCCCCTGGGCACAGCCCCTGGCCGTGACGTCGCCTCCAGCGGCGCTGCTGGGCGGTTCAGAATATAACACCGCGGAAATCGAAGTGGCGCCTGACGGAATTGTGGGCGCTGGAGCTTCCCAGTGGCTGGCGCCCCAGTCATCGGTCCCATTGGGCTTAGAGACGGGCCTGGGGCCGGAGTGGGATATTGGTGAGTGGCTGGGTCCTTTCAAGGCGGAGGGACTTGGAATGAGCGGCGGATTGCTAGCGGGGGTCTCCGGCGAGAGTTCGGTGCCAGTGAGTCACGGGATGCCAGGGCCAGTTGTTGGCGAAAGCACTTTGATGACGGGTGCCGCAAGGGGGCCAGCCGCGGCCAAGGTGGGATTGCTTGACGATATGAGAAAAGAAGTGATGAGTGTCGCAGGAAGGCAGGTCACCGCCAGGACTGGATTGCTGGGAGAGATGAGAAAAGAGGTTCAGGCGCTGCGCGATGTGCTGAAAGCTAACGGAATCTGCATTGGCTCCGCCTCGCATTCTGAGGAGGTGGCCTACACCTTGGGGCTTCTGCTTTCCAGCGTCATAGACATCACGGGGAGGATCATGAGCAGGTGCGACACGGAGGGGCTTGGCTACTCCCAGGAAGTCCACGCAAACCTGAAGTCCGACGAGCTGTGCAAATGGACAAATTGTCTGGCGGTTGCAAACCTCAATGAAATGCAGAAGCAGGCCGTCAAAGAACTTGCGATGGAGCAAGTGGTGCGGGTAAGCAATGTCAGGCGAAAGAGCATCAAGTTCAACGCTCAGGTGAGCACAAACTCATGGAGGTAAAATGCATTCCACTCTTTGCGCTCAGCTGAGGGTGAAGTTTTCCGGGTATTTGGGTGCTCAATAGGAGAGTCGGCAAAGCTGTTGGCCACCAAAGCTTTTGCCTGTGATGTAATTCCGGGATGAAGGAGTTGCAAGCTGAACCCAGACAGGGTCGCAAGCATTCCCATGCTGCCGTCATATAATTTACCTATTTCTGCTGCCTGCAAGAGAACTGATTGAAGAATTTCGCATTGAATTTGAACGGCTGCCATGAAATCAATTTGGCATTTGGCCGCAGATGACCGACGCCTTGAAGAGTTCCGGGAGCCGGCACCCTGATCTTCAATCCAATCTGCAGTGGATTTGCGCGCAACAGCAGCTCGTCAATGAGGAAGAGCGCCAAGTAGTGATTGAAGGACTTCGAGTGCTGATGACCGACATTCTGAGTCCCGTTCAAGCTTCGTTGCTGGTTGTGCATGCGCAACCAGCCAGAGTGGATGTCGTGAAGCTGGCCTCGGCCATCAGTTCGGCGGGAGGCACCACCAGCGGGGCTTGATAGATGCAGATGTGTATACTTACAGAACTAGTCGACATGTTGGGCATATATATATATATGACATATATGTCAGTGCTGTACCCATTTGGAGATAATTGTAGGAGATAGGGCGAGGTTGCGAGGCGCCATGTCCTCAACCGTGAAAGGACCTTTCCTGGTGGTCAGTTGCAGCGTCAGACGCGATCTAGAGCGCAGGTAGTTTGATGAACTTGTAAAAAGATTTGCAGTTTACTAGGTTGGGCACATGCGTTGCCAAAATGGAGTATTTTTGACATTATTAAGGCGTGGATGATGCGAATAAAAGCGTTACAGAGAAGAGCATCACTGCGCTTACATACATGTGAAAAATGCGCTGAATGGACGTTTGAGATTCCCAGGATTAGGGGCAGGAAATAGTTGACTTGAGCTTGCAGATCACCGTCGAAATCCGTGGATTACAGTTGTCAGAAAATGACAAAACACAACCTGGTAGGCGTGCACCTGGTAGGCGATGATGGGAGTGAAAACCAAGCAGATAGCTTGTTCGGAATCGGTTGTTCATGGCCCCGTATCCACACCCAATGAAAAGCTTGCAGGTGGTCCACGGCGATTTTTTCAACACGCCGAAATAGCGCCGCAAAGTGCAGTCCAACGATCCAGCCCACATCGGTGCCTGACTTAGCTTTGGTCATAGGAGCGCCAAGGGATGCATCAAGGGAAGAGTAGCTCTTAAAGGTGTGCAGAAATCTTCTGGGATCAATGGCAGCGGTGTTTGGCATTCGGGATGAGGTGCGGCGGAATAATGTGGCGAGAGATTACAGAAGCACGCCAGGTGAGCGCAAGCTGTCAAGTTCAAAAAAAGGGGATAGGAACTTTGAGGGTGCTGCATCCTGTTTTGAAACGTTCTTTTGCGCGAGATTCAACATTTTTTAAATTGGAATTTCAAGATCATTTCCCATTACTTTTTAGCGGTAGTGGTTTTGTTACCCGACACAAGACAAGTGACAAGGATGATGGAATTCGCATATTGATGTGAAGATTGGGGAATGCCTACGCTGTTTTTTTGGACCGGGTGGTTTTGCTCCCTGAATCAATGGAAGTGACAAGGGTGATGGAATTCGCATATTGATGTGCAGATTGGGGAAGCGCCTGAGATATGTGTAATCAAAACATTGCAGTAATGTTGAGGTGGTTTCCCATTCATGATTCGATAGGGATTCGAATATCATTTAATTAAGTACGATTAGGTACCTTGTGAAGTGCATCCGACACTCATTATCTGAAAAAAATCTTGCGAAGTTTGTATGTATCATTGCTATTGACCACGTGAGCGACTTGGTCATGTTATGTTGATGTCATGTTATGATTTGCTTGCAAGGTAATTGTTAATGGCAATTGCCACAGCGCCGAAATTACCCCTCTCTCAATGGAGGCGGTCTACGACAAAACCATGATGCAAAAATCCTTGTACCACTATATCCAATAGTGATGCAAATCATAGACTAATTTATTCTATATTTGCCATCACCATTCTATTTGTAAATCTAAAACTGTTTTGTTACCACTTTATATAAAGTATTGTGCTATGTCAAAGTTCCTTAGCCATCCCGGTTCGAGGTCCCGCTCGTCGCAATCGAATCCACGCGCAGCGATGGGCCACAACGCAGCACAAGTCAAACCGTTTTGGTTCGACCTCTGTGGCAACCTTGGTGCACGCGGTGCTCAAACGCACTCGCCGTGCATGGTCGGACAAGCAGTCAAGACTCAACTTGTCTTACAACCGAACCAAGAGAAGCCACGAACAGTCTCGGGCTCTCTTTAAATACCAGAATGCGCCTCTTTTTTTGCCCACCAACACTCACACTCAGAGCGCCAGATTGAACTCACACTTCACACACGCACAACACGCTACCCCACAGCACCGACCCCTAGCATCGACCCACGGCACCAACCCACAGCTCCACCCCACAGTGCCAACTCATGATCCCCAAAATTAGTAAGATTGAAGCTAATTGTTGGCCGGCCGTCCTCCTGCCATCTCAATCAGGTCAATGTGTGCACCAGTCAACCAGCACATGAACAGGTGCTTGCATAACATGGCAGCTGCGCCTGTCATGGTGTGTCAGACTTTCATCTCTTTAGCTTGGCTTTTTAATATGTATTCACTTCTCTCATTGAGTTTCACTGCACATCAGTGTTCAGCCACTGACCTCCAGCTATGAGAACTGGAAAGTTGCATGTGAAACATCGAGAAAAATGACTGCCATCCAAAGATATTGTTGATGGCATTCCTCGAAACGGGATTCTCATATGCCACCATTTAATCATCGGATTACAAATCAGTAATTGACGGAGGCAGATCAGTGGCCAATTACTGGTAATTCGAACATGTTACAAAGCAAATCTTTAATACTGTCATAACGGAAAAATGAAAATTCCATTTTAGTATCATGCGCTCGTGACCAGAATTACTCCAGTACCAAATTCAGGACAGGTATCAAAGCGACAGTGACAGCAACTTTGCATGCCCAATGCACTTCGGCGAGAGCAGTCCATTGTGTAATTTTCCCCCCAAAGGGTGGACATGGCTCCATTATAACATTTCTGGATGTTAGATGAGCTGTGCCGCACTTCTTTGTTCTGGGGGTGAGGGGAGGATTGAGGTGGCAAGGACGAGGAGCGAATGGCCCGTTGCCATTTGCCAACAATGGCAAAGCTTAACCAGGTGCGGGGACGGAGGTCGAGATTAGCCCGGCAGAATCCAGCCAGGCGCTTGGTCATACCAGACAATTACCGGTATCACAACCGGGGCTGCCGTTTGCATCAGCGGCAGCGCATTTACGTGTACTTGTGTGTGCCATGCATGAAGTATCCTCGAAAAACGCGCAAATGTACGGACGCCCATATTTATGCGCATTATTATGCGTGCTTGACCTGGGATAATTTGTACATGTTGCGCATCTCCGTGGACAGTTTCTGAGTCCTCCCTGACCTCAAGAACCTTGCAGATCCACGTACACTTTGCCCCTCAAATGGCAATGAAGATATCAAAAAACTGTCGTCCTCCACCCGCTCGAGCGCAGTCGGCCACAACTTGGTAGTTTTGGGGTGCTCCCTGATGGGCTTGCGTCAGCTGCGTGTGGAGACTGCCGGTGAACTTGTGTGCGGCAATTTGTGCGCAACTTGTGACGCAAGTGCTGTTACGCAAGTTACGTGCAGTTTTGTTACCGAGGGTAAAGTGCAGGGATATTCCTGCCGAGTGTCAACAAATGCAAAAGTAGGGGGCTCATAGATGCAGTTGCTCCTGGTTGCTCTAAGGTCGTGTATATATTTGCACATATATACTAGTAATGAATATGCGCCATCTGTATGCTGAAAACATATGCACTTCTGAGCATGGAACATCGAAATTCAGATGCAAAACTGCAAGATAAAAAGCAATAACATCAATCTTGGTAGCCTGGTTAATTGCAGCCGTAATGGCAGGCGTGCAAGCGATGGACAATACTGCGGGTGGTCGTCGTGTGGTTGGGTGGGCGGGTGGATTGGATGCACTCGATACAAAAGCACATTGCGATGATGGCTTTCTTTTCAGTGTTTGGGACAATCTCCTGTTGGCCAGATCCTCGAGGCATCACGGCGGGAGCGACAAGGGCGCCTTGCACATTCTGCGGCACAACGCACGATGTACGACACTTGCGGTACACCGGTGGCAATGGGCGGGTTTTTTTATTGAAGGGCGATGGTCACTCGCGTGGCTGCGTTTCCACACGACGTCGCTGTCGGAGAAGCCACGCGGCGCCCATCGCTGGAGTAATGATGACTTCTACGACAACAAGACCACGGCCAGATAGAAGGGGCTAGGCAAGCAGCTCGGGACGACTAGTGGATCAGGATGGGTCCCATGCTTGGTAGTTATGTCCTCCAAGGCCGTGACACTCGTCGGCTGCCATCATTCGCCAGCCGAAGGTACGGTTATATCAATGCCGTTGGCGGGGGGGGGGAACCCTAGATGATGTACGGAACGCGGAACCGTTCCGCGTCCCTAGGGCGCGTCGGCGGTGGTGGCATAACGTTGCCGTGCCAAAATGTCGCCAACGCGACGGCCGAGTCAGCCAACCGAGTGGCAACAACGAGCGGTGGAAGATGGCCACCGGGGCAACAGGCTCGCCGCTTACAGGCACAATACAAATTGAGTGCACGGGGCGCCCGTCCTAGCGGTTGGCCGCCCCCGCGCACCAACATAATGACCGCGGATTTGTGACGGGCGGGAACGCCGAGCAGCGCTCGGAAGATGGGCGGGGAATGGGTCAGTGCCCTCGCCCCATTACTCAATCACTGACACTCCACCCGCGACGGTGCCGGACTAATCAGACACCCAACAGGTACCGAGGGCGGCGGTACACACCTTAGCACCGTCACCCTGCCCTGATCTGGCTATCACGCGGCCGCGAGACCGTAATTGGCGCCAGGGGTCACTCTTCAGTACAGTGTGGCTGACTAGCGCGCGCTGGCGCGGCCTACAAGACAGGAGGAATCACCGCTGACCATAGCTCACCGACGACGCGAGCGCGCCCGGCGGAAACGCAGGTGGGGCGACCTCCGCGGCTGAACGGCGACGGGGGCTGGGGGGGATGGGGGTTGCGGCCACGAGGCTGGCTTGCTGGGCTGGGCTCCCCGTCTGTGGATCCTGCCCTCTTGATTGCACCAACAGTTCGCACAGGGGCTCATGATGAACCCCGGCGCGCATTGCGACCGTGCCACGGTGTGGCGCCCTCAGATAGCAGGAGCAGGGGGCCCCGCGGCGGGCCCGGGCGTCCTGTTGGCGCGGCGCCGATGGGGCCAGGCGACGGGGCAGCGAGCGGCCCACGGCTTCGCGGCAACGCCCGTGACAGCGCAATCCTCGGCCGGGCGTTCCGCCGCGTTTTGCGACCAGAGGGCGCTATCCTCGGGGGGCAATTCGATGGACGTGATAGATGGCCCCCCAGGCGTTGATCGGCAGAGCCCATCGACTCGCCGTCGTGTTGCCCATGGCCGTGTACCGCAGCTTCGGGACCTCGCGACGGGCCCAGACCTCGCGGTTTCCAAACAAGCGCGACATGCGGGCTGGTTTCGTGGCGTGTGGGGTTGCGTCTGACGCCGCGTGCACCTTGCGCAGGTCACAGGTCGCCCGCCGCAGGCCGGGGGTCCCGAGGAGGAGGCAGAGGGGCCAGGGGCGCCAGAGTAATTTCGCCCACACCTCACACCTTCCGGGGCGCTCCGGCCGGCCTTACAGGTGGGGGTTGGATGGTTGCCTGACGGGTGCGTGGTAGTACATTGACGTGGGGTCGCTGATGTGCCGTGGGAGCCCAGGGGGCGCTGGTGTAGTGCCCAGGAGATTGTTGGGTTTGCGGGTGCCTATTGTTGGCTGCGGTACGTTGAGGCTCATCCGATCAACCAGTCAGTGCCTAAAAACAGAGGGATTGGGCCGCCTTGGGCGAATCTCCTGGCCCAAGCGCCCGCTTTGAGTAAGCGCAAGTAATACCACTCAGCCGTACGAGGCCCCGTGCCATGCAGCGCATCCATGCTGCTGTACCAGTCCAAGGTTGACGGCGGGTTTTTGGCCAGTGGGGGTGGGCGGGCGCTGGGACGCATCTCCCCACGAGCCCCACCCGTCCTCTCAGAGGCTGCAAATGCTGCAGGAACCTGCGGAACGCCACTTGTCTGTTGGGTTCCTTGCAACGTGTTGATGGGCGGGGGGCAGACCATCCGTCGTTGCCCTGTCTGCGTCCTCACCTGCCCATCCTGTCGTCCACGGCAATGGCCGCATGAGCGGGTCCTCTGCGTTTCCCACAGCGTCTCCGGCAGGCTTGGTTTTTATGTTTACGTTTCCATTTTCACTTTTGCGTTTTTACGTGTAGAAACGTAAATTTGCAAAAGAACCTATTTTTACGTTTTTTAGGGCTATTTTTACGTTTTTATGGCTCCCTGGGACGCCCAGATTACACGATAAAAGTTGCGTACAATGATCAGTCCTCCGCTATATCCAGCACCCGCAACACAGTGTCCACCTCGCCCTTGGCGATGGCGATGATGGTGCTTGACGAAAACTCGTTTTCTGCCCCTTCCAGGGCGTCTGGTTGCCACTCTCCAGACTCCATAAGTCTGTGTGTACAGTCCTTATGTACACCGGGCAGTTTTTACGTTGTGTTTACGTATTTTTACGCATTTTTACGCGTAAAAACGTAAATACGATCAGTTTTTACGGCGTAAAAACCAAGCCTGGTCTCCACAGTTCAATGCTCGGTCAGTCATCGGCTGCAGCCGGTCGGTGTCCGCCTGACCCTTGCACTCAGCTGCCAATCTTGCAGTCGAGGGGCGCGCCCTTTACGTTGTGCGTTGCGTCATGGTGCGGTGGGGAGCCGATTGGAACCGAGGCACAAATCCCAGCTCGATTTGCGTTGGGCTCGTTGCTGCGCACATCGGGTTGATTTTTTTTTGGCGACAGGACACCAGGCGACCCGCCCCTTGTTCATGTCGACGGCAGCGTTTTCCATTGCGATTTGCGCAGCGTTCCGCAAACATTCAGCGCTGTGACACGCAGATTCGCTTCCAGCCCCGGGCAGATCACGTAACGTCCATTTCGTGGAAAGTAGACCTCCTGGCCCTGCTGACGGTACGCATTAGGGGCAGGGCGAAGTGTGTTTCTGTTGAGCCAAGCACTTGTTGCGTGGAAGCCATGGAGGGGCAACCTCACAAAACGAAAATCGCGGCATGGATCCGTGCTCTTCATCACTGGTGGGGTTTGCACGCCTGGCGGGCGCAGCAACGCAAATCAGCACTGTCCCGGGCCGCCCTGCAATCGGCGAAATTCTCGAGAGCTGAGCTCCGCCGACAGTGGCCATCGACCGTTTGGTGGACAACACGTCGATTTAAAATTTGCTTGGTTTCGACTTATTTCCGAGTTTGCAGCAAATTCCAAGCAGCCCCTGATTCGTTTGGCCGGGGAGAACATTTGGAGGGGCTTCTGCTCTGGGCCTTTCATTAGACACCTGGCGCCACGTGTGTTGATGGCAGTTTGGGCGGGCAGGAGACTGCCCCTCAGAAGGCGGCACAACCTCTGACTCACCGTTGGCCATTTCCGGTGCCCAGGGCGCACTAGAATTTCAAGGCACGCAAGGTGGCGGTGCTGATGGACAACACAGGGGGCGCGAGCGAATACGAACGCATAAGCCACGAGAATGCGATTCTGAGGGACGCCAACGCCAAGCTCCAGGCGATTATAAGGGGTCAGAAGGCGTCGATTGAAAGCTTGCGTGCGGCTCACCTTCATCCTGGACACGAACCGGTTCCACGCATGATGTCCGGTCAAATACAAGGTACAAATATCTGCAGCGAGCATTTGAAGCATCAGTAAGGCGGCCACGAATGGAGACATATGCTGCATTTGAATTGCGTGAAAAAGCGTCGCAGATTCCCAGCACTTGGACTTGTGGACGACCTTGTTCTTTGTTGGTGAACCACATATTTAGAGACCGACATTGCGTGTTCGAGATCTTGTCACTGGAACGCCTTGCTTTTACTACCACTGTGGCCAGTGGTAGTAAAAGCATAACAGCACGACTCGCAGTTACATTTGCCTTTTCCAGCATTTGGATATCTGGATTGTGTGTTTTCGATTCTATTGCACTTGGATTGCGGGTCCCTGGACTGCGCGTCAAGACACTTCACCAATAAACTTCTTATTCGACTCGGCACACGCCATACATTTGTGTGTTACATTTATACACTATACATTCGACGCCGATTCTAGAAACTGCGGATTCAACTTTGGCGGGCCGCATTTGAGTGTGCACATTATTTACATTGACCAGGCGTTAGAAACTGTATTCTCTAAGCAGGTTTCCGTGCTTTTGTCTCGTGCAGGCCAGATACCACAGGGGACTGTGCCACGCGATGAGCGCATGGGAGTTCCGTACACACACGCTTTCCCCGGGCTGCAGCGACGCCCGCCATTTCACCCCGGCCCGTACTCGGCGCCGGCCCCGCCGGCCCTGAGCTGCCCGCCCTTCTCTCCAGTGCCCGACCACATGTGCGCGGACTACATTGGGGGCGCCACAGCACACAGCCCCATCTCCAGCATCTCGGAAGTGGACATCGTGGCCCAGGCCCCCCTCCCCCCTCCGACCGCCTGGGACGCGCCCCAGATCATTCCGGCGCACCCTGCAGCCGCCTGGGACGCGCCCCAGGTCATCCCCTCTCAGAGCACCCCACCCCTGCTACTTCCGCCCAGCACCCACATGCCCATGTGCAACGCCCAGCGGGGGCCGCAAGGCACGAGACAGGCCTTTTGCGGCGGCATTCCGCAAGAGCCCTTCCGCTGCGTCCATTCGGAGCCCGCCCAAGCATCCCAGGCGCCTCGGGCCCTGGGAGCGGACAGCCCGCTGGCGCATGGGCCCCAGGACTTCTTCCCCGAAGGTGCAGCGACGCCGTTTCGAACGGTGTCCTGGGATGCGGCCTCGGAATCGGACCTGGACCTCCTCGGGCTGCTGCTGCAAGTAGAGAAGGGGCCAGACGATGCAGCCCCCTATTCTCGCCCGGGCCCCCCCAGCGAGGGCTCCGCCAGAGAGAGCCACTCGACGCCGGGGTCCGCCAGCGACCCCCCGGCCGCGGGGCCGGCCGAAGCCGGACAGCCCACGGGAGAGCTGGAGGGGCAGATTCGAGCGCTGAGGGACGTGCTCAGGGTGAATTCCATCCGGGCGGGCGGCGACGGGGCGAGCGGCGAGGCGCTGTGCGTGCTGGGGCTCATCCTGGGCAACGTGGTGGAGATCGTGGGAAGGCTGATGAAGTTTAGCGACTCCGCTGTGCTGGACCACGCGCAGGAGGTGGAGAGGAGCCTGGCCGGGGAGGAGATGCGCAAGTGGGCGAGGTGCCTGGGGCTGATGAACCTGAGCGGGTCGCAGAAGCAGGCCATCAACGACCTTAGGGTGGAGCAGGTGACGGGGTTTCGCAGGCTCAGGGAGGAGAGCGCGAGGCTCAACGAGCAGGTGGGCATATTGCGATGGGGGCGCCGGCGTGCTGGCCCGTTGTTGTGCGAGGGACGTTTTCCTTGGGCGGTACCTTGAGGGATGTGACCGTCTGTACTTGACGCGACAATGCCATGGTCGCATTTGTCAGGAGGCGAGACGGACAATGCGCTTGTGCCTTGCCGTCAAGGACGGCCGCGGAAACACCCAATTTCGTCTTTGAATCTTGTGCCGGTGCATCCTTCCAGCTACTGTTCTGCTGCGATACCGAACGTGGCGCGCAAGCACCCAATTTCGTGTTTGCTTCGTGTGCTGGTGCATCCTTCCAGCTGCTGTTCTGCTGCGATACCGAACGTGGCATGAATTCCTACAAGTTACTTTCGAATTGATGCTGCACCTCGGTGCATCCCTTCTGTACTCTCATTGTGCTGCTGGGTACGGAAACATTTGACAGTAGAAGGTACCCCTTTGCCCTTGTTTTCGACCAGATCGGTACTGAGGCTGCGGCATTGCGACAGGTCAATGATGCCCTGCGGGCATCGGGCGACCACCCGACCGTCCTCTCCTCAGTGCTCAAGTCAATCCGCCGCCAGCAGGAGCGCACCTTTGGACAAGAGCACCAGACCATCATGGACGGCCTGCGCGCTCTCATGCTCAGCATCTTGGATCCCGTCCAGGCCTCCATTCTGGCTGTGGAGGCGCATCCCGACAGGGTGGACGTAGTCAAGCTGGCGACGGCCCTGGCGGCAATCAGCGACGGAGGAAACAGCGGTGAGACAAATTCGCCGTCATGCTCTTCTTTTTTGAGGGACTCGGGAACTTGGCCCCGCCATTAGCCACCGCGCATCGATCGGTGGGACAGTGGCCCATTGGCCGCGCTGCGATCGATGCCTCGCTGGCGAGGGGGCGAAACTGAAACCAGAACTCAACCAACTGAACCTGATCGGTGTGCTGCGATGTACGGAGAACTTTTTGTAGTAGTAAAACAGGAACTAGTACAAGTTGCGATAGCAAGTTAGGTGGAAGCTGACCGTTGGGTACTGCCTATTCACCAGTGCCGCAGTTCTTGAAATCATTGTGGGCGTCGGGGATGGATAAAGTGCTCTGCTCCAGGGACTGCGGAATGTGTTGATTAATTGCCGACGGGCCTCCCGAGGTGTGCAAGAATAGTTAAGGGAGGCGCGTCGAGATTTGGCCTAGAATCAGTGCTGGGGTGGAAGCCGTGATGCTTGAGTGGTTGCGGTGCATGAACCGGCATTGAATGAAGTGGCACCTTTGCCAAACCATCATGGGCGACGTGAGATGGAAAGTCGTTGGAAAGGGGCGCATTTGTGGTTTGGCACTGCTGGCTGTGATGAGGGATGTCCCACAGTTGACCGGTGCCGGAGTTGCTGCTCCAGAGGTGGGGCGCTAGGCAGGAGTCTCTTTCTGGCACCCAGTTCCATGTCCATGCCTTCCAAAGAACGGCTGCAGGATCTTTTTGCCTTCCATCCCAGTCCACAAGCGTGGGAGGGCTGTCAGCATTTTTGACTCAACTTTCCACACAGCCCATTGAGAGTGGGAGGGCTGATATTCTTTTACCTCAAATATTTTGGCACATTCCTGTCGAAACCTCGTTGAGCATTATCGACCGCCCCCGGGCATACTGGGCACATGCCGCTGCTGCTGGCTCGGCGCATCATCCAGGATCCAGAGATTGGAGTGGCGGCAGTGGGGCCAGGGCCAGGTCGGTGCATTTGAGTCACAGATCCAAGCGCCTCGGGCAGCAGATTAAGACTGTTAATCTGACCCTGAGTCCGGTCAGTCTGGAGTCTTTTCCCATTCACATCCTTCAGGCCAGCGCGCTCGTCTGCGATGCTATTGGCTGCTTGCCCACTCCACGGGAGGCACAGGTGACGAATGGCATGCTCTTGGTCACACGATATGGTGCAGTAATTGCTGCGGTGCTGAAGAATAGAACAACTCACTCGTTGCGGGGAGTACGTCAAGAGTGAGAATTGAATAAGATTTGCGATTCAGAATTGTAAGAGTGACGTGAAGTGTGGTATTGGACGAACGCACAGTTGCTGCTGCTCCTGGGAATTGGGGCACAGCTGGGAACGCCTTGTCTGGAAAGATTGGGTTCAGGTCGGGGATTCATCCGTGTGGCCACAGGCGCTGTATGGCTGTCCCATCCTGCCCACCGGGGCTGGAGAGGGCGCCTGGAACAGATTGAGCCCCTTTGGAAGTCCTTGACGTTGTAAGATGGTCCTTTGCGCAATCGGAACCTGTTGGTTTGGCTGCAGTTCTGTTGGCAATGCGCATCGATATCCTGGCGTGCGTTGCTGCCAGTGCGCACAAAACTGCGGTGTGGGCACAAACCCATGGCTTGGTTTTGGGCACTTCTTTCGCCAGAACATTGGGCACGCAGTTGCTGCAGCCCCCGTGCCTTCATGGCGAAACTAACGTCAGCTGCTCTTGACGCAGCACTGAGAACATCGTGATGCACAACACTTCCACAAAAGTATGCCGGTTAAGCGGTTTGATCTCTTCAGCAGGCTGCTGTGCGCACTGGACGTCGGAACAATACCCTGCTTGCAAGCTACGGCGTCCCAATGCCCTCTTGGACACTATTCGAGAGTACATGCCATAATCACACCCTTGCTCAGTGTCAATTTTCTTCAGCTTATAACTGGATTTCGCTGCCTGCCCAACCAACGTCCTGCAGCCTGCCAACACCTCCTGTGCATTGCTCGCCCTCAAGCCAAATTGTGCGATCCCGTTGTGCAACCATAAGCAGGACAGCCACCAATTCATCCACTGCTTGATCCCATTGCAGAAGGAGTTCAGTATTGGACATTCTTTCAGGCAAATGTGCTGCTGGATCAGTACCTCAGCAGGACAAGCAACATCACATCCTGCCCAATACTTTACTGCAAAGTGGCAGCATGGTCCCCATTCCCTCCCCCCCCCCGCGCCCCATGGGTTTGTGCCACTCGCCTTGCGCATAACTTGGCACCTCACCCTGTCAAGGGGGTCATCCTGAATGGGACAAGTGCAGGTGGCAAAATGTGACTTGGCCAAACTTAGGACAGCGAATACGCACAGACGTGCCCTAAATCCAGCAACGGTTCGCACATCGTTTTTGAAAGGGCAAGCGTTGAGCAGAGGCTGCTTCAGCCCCAGCACAGACAGCAAACACAAGCATACCATGTGGTCACAATATTGGCCTTGTGACACAGTGATACGATGGGCAGGCCAGTTCGCAGAATCATTTGAATCCATATTATTCACCAGCCAGTTTGATCCCTTCTCTAAAAGGACAACAGAGCAGCAATCTACAGCAATGGAAGCATGCTCCTACAGCCTTCGCCCAGACACCCTCGCGATCTTGCAATCTTGTCACCCCTCTCAACTTTCCAGCTGCAAGCTGCAGCCCTTCTGAGTGCACTCGTCAGCCATAAACCAGCCGGAATACATCTGTCAGATAGAAACAGCACCGTGAACACATTGCCAACGCCACAGGCTGTGCATGCACAGGCCCCGAAAGACGATCACATTGAGTCAGACTTTCCAAACCACACCCCGGGTTGAACAGTGACTGTTGGCAGCAATAATGCTTAAAGCCAGACACAATCAGAGCAAGGTCCATCGATAACTTTAAGTGCACTTGGAGCATTTATCACATGACTCCAAACGCCTGGGCTATTGAGCTTGAAGAAACACTGTCTGGGTCCCAGGTGGCAAGCCGCCTTCCTTCTCACAGCCTCAACTGAGGATAGATCTGTTTTTTTGCATCATACGCGTACTTGACTGCACTTGTCCACAGAGCACACCAACCAAGACAGCATTGCCCACTTCTTCTGGGATGCTGGGGTGTACACTGGTGGTGGTGAAACGAGCGGGATGGTTGTTGGTAAGATATAGAGGAGTAGGGTTTATTTTGGATGAATTGTATGCCTCAACATAGAGATGGATAGTCCGTACATGAACACTGGGGCACACAATAGACATAATGTTCTTGTGTGGTTGGATGGCAACATAGCCCTTGTGTGGCTGACACACAATTAATGGACATTCATCATCATGATAATCATCATCGTCATCAGCAGCAGCATAATTGCAGACTTATGTTGGCATTCATTGCTGCACCATCTGTTCTGTTTCTCCAGTTGTGAATCAACGCAACACAATGCACGTGGGAGGTTCAAAAAGGTGACACTTAGATAGCCAGGTGCTTGACAATCAAGACAAGCAATGTTGCAGCACTCCAATGCAGGCCACCTGAAATTCAGCTTTTATTTTCCTTCCTATAGGGGTTGCGGTGCTGCTGCTGCAAAAATGCAACAAAAGTACTGCTGTTGGCTGGTAATCAGTTCCCTATTTGTTATTGGACTTGTCATCTGCATCCTGGCTTGAACATTCCGCTATGCTCGACCTTCCCCCAAGTTGTGCTGACACCACAAGAGAGTCGCACCTTACAATACTTGGGGGCTTTCTCATGATGATGAATTCAAGCATACCCACCAGTGCTACTAGGGGATGGGATGCAAGGGTGTTACATTTCTGGATCATTGGCCTGCAGATAAAAATGCATGTGTACAGGAGGCCCACTATCAAAGCTCACACGCTTCTTCAAATACGACGCCCGTGACCAGGTTCATTGCGGTGACAACAACTTTTGGGCAAGGAAACCCTGAAAGTGGTGACTCAGTTGGTGCAATGTTGTCAAGAGATTTGGCTCCTGGTTAACTGGCTTTTGCGATCATGATTGGTTATCAACAAAAAACTATTGCATTTTCATCATGTCACAAGTGCGAAGAATTGTTACAGCGGTAGATGCCAGGATGAGGGTGCAGAGTGTTTGTCTCAGTACTAGAAAGGAAGGCAGCTACTACAGCAAGGGGACAAACATGCTGATCCAGGGATGTGCCTGTGCTGATTTGAAATCAACGTGCGTTGCAGCAGTCTGTGATGCCCTCACGTTGCTGTGCAAGAAAGGGTACCAGCCGCAAAGCAAGTCGTGTAGCTGCAACGGGTGGCAATGACACCGGGAGAAAAGCACTGCCCTTCCTGAAGCACTCAGAAATTCGCAATTCAACTCTTGCAGGGGGCATAATGTCTCAAAACACTTTCAGCGAAACGTGGTCGCTGACTCTTTGACCCGCCTTTTTCGTTGAGAGCAGTTGGCGATGTAATATGGGGCAAGAGAGGGCGGCCCCCAGCAACCGTGGTTCGCGTCACAGACGACGTGAATTGTGGGAGGCGTGGCCTCGGAGGGGCGCAATGTCACCCACCGTTGGTCACCACGAAGGATTGGCCCATCTGCGCCAAGTGGAAGGTTTGGCTGAAACGCGTCGGGTTGCTTTGTCCCTCGGTCTGCGGCGCACACCACCCAGAAGTGAAATCTGCGCCGTGGGCCGGGGTCGCGAGGAACGCGCGCCGCCCACCGCCCGCTCGAATTGGGGACCAACAGTGCAATGGGGAACCCTATGCAGTGGCATGGAATTGCGGCCCAGCCCGAGCGAGGGACAACGACGAACGCCAAGGCGAAGGGCCCGAATCGCCACATTGCAGCAGGTCCAATGCCTCGTCACGTTTCGGTAATTGGCAACTTGATGCCAACGCCTTGACGCGGATTCCTAGCAAGGGGGAAGGAGGAGGGGCCAGGGCCGAACGTCCGGCAATCTGCTGATCATGGCGCCCGCGGGCGGCTGCGTCACGCGCACCATGAGTTTCCCCGTCACGAACACCAGTATGCCACCTCCCGGCGACGGCTGCACGTCCAACGAGTCCCTCTGGTGCTTGACCTGCGCGAAGGGCAGGCTGGTGAGCTTCTGCACGATCTGGTCCTGGCCCTGGCACTTGGCGCCCTCGAAGGTCATGACGGATGAGGCGTGGTAAAGCGAGTGCAGCGCCTGGCGGTTGGTGGCGAAGGTGTTGTAGTAGTGCTCGCAGAACGCCTGAATGGGGACAGCCGTTTGGGAGGGGGGCGTCAGCCGAAGGCGGCGGGATCGCACGTCCAGGCACGACGGCGTGGCGACAGAAAGGGCGACAGAAAGGCAGGAAAGGGGCTGAGGGGAGGGGGGAAGATCCGTTGCAAAAAGAAATTGCTGTTTGTAGAAAACTGGCCGCAGGGCACCCCCCTCTGAGCAAGCGCACGCGAGACTCCCTTCCACGCGGCGAAGAGCCGCAGAGGAGTCCCTGGTGCAACAGGGGGAGCACCAAAGCAGGTGGGCGGGTGGTGGGGCGGGCAGTGCGTGGCGGGTGGGGGGGGGGGTCGCACCTTTGCCACGGCCTCTGCGTCGGCCATCGCGAGTCGGGGCGGCGCCGGGAGGGCGTCGGCGCTGGCTGCGGCGCGTAGCTGCCGGGTTGGCTGGGTGCGCGGGGCTGTGCGCCCTGGCTGCGCTCTGGGGCTGGGAGAATCTGCGAACGGGGTTGACTAAGCCCGCCTCAACGCCAGAAAGACAGGCGCCCCGAAGCTGTGCCCAGCGGCAGCGGCGGGTGCGGCCCACAGACGCGGGGCGCCAGCCCCCCGTCCCGAGTGTTGTGGGCCCCATGTCGCGAGTACTTTGGGTGGCCAATCAGTCACCGGCCGGGGCAATCGTGCCCCCACACCCAAAGCCGCCCCGTGCCCGCACATGCTCGCTGCCTCGCACTACTGTATCTGGCGACAGCGCAACCGACCAGCTTTGCGCCCCGTTTGGCTCCCAGCTCGCACCGTGGCGTCCGCGGCGCAATGGGCCGTGCGCCGCGGACTGACGCGATGCGCCCAATGGCCCCCGGCGCCCGCATCCCGCCGGCGCCGTTTTCCACCTTGCACCACATGCGCGGGGGGAGGCGATGTGTGGCGCGGGCGGCTGGGGGCGATGAGGTGCTGAGGTCGCTGTCGGCCAACCGGGAGCTGTCCGTGCTGACGTCGGTGGGGACGGCCGTGGTGTCGGAGGCGACGGGGCGGCACGTGACGGCGCCCACAGCGTCCGCCGCGCTGGGGCGCGTGATCATGGGCACCCTGCTTCTGGGCTGCTTCAGGAAGGTGGGGCCTACGGCCTGGGGATGGATCGTGGGCGCTGTGGATCGAAATTCGCTTCGCGATTGGTTGCGCGTGTGTGGGGCGGATCGGCTCAGCTGTTTGTTCTGTTGTGCGATTCCTGGGATAGCATTTGGCGAAATGTGGCGAAGCGAGGCCCATGCACCAGCCAGACGATGTCCGGCAAGGGTCTGCGTGAAGATTGTCCCAATTGCGATCGCCACAATGGCCAAAGTCCTAATTCACCTTGCTGTGTCGTCGACTGGTGGAAGCGCGTGGAGGGTCATGTCGCGGCTGATTCTTTTTCGGCCATTGTCAATCCATCAATCAAATGCCAGTTTCATTGAGAGTTGCCACAGCCGGAGGCATACTCCTGGCCTTTGAAATAAAACTAGCGGAAACCTTTGTGGCAGGATGGTCCCCGTTTCATCGCTTGGGCGTATCTTTGTTCTTTCGTACTTGGACAACGAGAACGAAGTGCACGCGTGTCTAAACTACCTGTGCAAAATTGTCGGTTGTCTGTTCTGCTTGACGTTTGTCCTCTGGACGAGTGTCCTAGGGATCCCAGCTGCTTTGCCGCCTTGTGTTGACAAGGTCATTCACCCCCATTTGGCTGCATACTGCAGTTATCGATGTGCATTTTATTCTGCAACAACGTTGTGGATAGATTTGTGCCTGCCATCGCCTTGACGATGCAATGGCATTGGATTTGCATTGGCTCGCCAATGTGATGAAAGGAATATCTACAGGCAGCAAAGTCAATTTCTATTCATATTATCCTTTTATTTTGCTGTGAAATCTGTGGCATGCATCGCTCAATTTCCTCAAATTCCTTAGCAGGGGACATGCACACTCAGATCAGCTGCAGCCACCCAATTCTAGGCAGGTTTGTAGGAGTTTCACTCTTAGGTCCGCATCCAGTGCCTGCCATGGAGAATTGGCAGCCCACCTATGCACCATAGATTGCCCATTGCATGCATCCAGCACGACAATCCATAACTGCTGTCTCATATTTGGCCAGTGAAATCTGTATTTCATTCCTCACAATGCAGTCACATCAATCCTGGCAGTTTTTGTCCATCGAGATGCAGGGCCAAGTGGCACGAAGTACATGCCACCAGCTTGTGTTGTAATGGCACTGCAGTGTGCATCTGCTACATCTGTGCATCCCACATCATTCTCTGCTGGGAATAGGCATACAGCATGTTACTGCATGGTGAATCCCAGCTCTGCTGGGAATAGGCATACAGCATGTTACTGCATGGTGAATCCCAGCTACCTACGCACTTTTGAATGAGTCAGACCTTTTCAGGGCCCCTTTTTCACCAGATACCATGCTCACGAATGCCCACACCTAGTTACACTCGCCAACCTCCCATATGAGCAGGGCACTATTTGTCTGTGTCGTCACTTCACAATGCCCATCGCAGCACAGCACAAGCATAACAAGATGATGATGTCTGTCACTGACACAGCAAACGTCCTTGCTTGCTCTTGTTGTTGAAATTGGATAAAGCATTGGCCTTTCAGCAAGAGGTCTTTTATTTCCCTAATGAGCTTACCCCATTGTTTTTTGTAACCATTTTCATCACTCTCACACAATGGACACACGCTGAACGACCGATTCTGTCCCTATCAGGATGGCGAGGTCACTCAGATCAGCTTCACTGGGGATGGCCCCTCAGGAGTGGTTCAGGCCATCGCGAACGACAGTGGCCTGGTGCGCGGACGCATCGGCTGCCCCTCTGCCAACCTGCCACTGCGGGGCGACGGCAAGCTGGATGTGGGCGGACTCATCGGGCAGGGAGTGGTGACTGTGGTGCGCAGCGGGCCCTTGAGGCCACAGCCCTACTCAGGTATTGTGCCCATCGCAACAGGAGAGGTGGCGGAAGACCTGGCAACGTACCTGGCCAAGAGCGAGCAGGTCAACACTGCGCTGGCACTGGGCGTTGCGGTCAACAGGGATGGGAGCATACGCTCTGCTGGCGGATTTGTTGTGCAGGTGCGTGCGTGTGTACTGATTGTATGCTCAGATGTAATTGTACGATAAAACTGTGGCAGTCACCAACCTCACCAACCTGGTCACCAACCTAAAAATGGGCACTGAGTACTGAGTTTGTGCAGTGCTCAGCAGCGGGACTGGAATTTGCTTGCCTATGCTGCCTTGCAGCACTGTGTGGGTAGGAAAAAGACAGGTGGATGTCTTGGACGTCTGGGATGTCCTGGACCAAATCACAACACCAAAGCAGGGTCGATGTGAGTAGCTCAGGGTGTGGGCGTGCACGTTTGCAGTCCACACTGATTGCACCTGCCGATGGTGACAAATCAGCGCGTTGAGAAATTGCCCATTGCCCGGCACTCTTCGTTTTTAGGAGTTTGTCGAGTAGGTGTCTCCATGTGAATATGTCAACGCTGCATGGTGAGTTTGTGAATGAGAAGCCTTGAACACAATGCAATTCCCAGAAAAAATATCTGTAAACCTTCCGCACTGAGTACAGTTGCCTGAAAGCAAGACTCTTTCTCACGCACGTTTGCTAGATTTGATGTGCAGGCCAGCATAGATCATTGTCATGTTCAATTCTCCTATGGTGCTGCATCTCAAATCCAATCACATGAAGGCAAAGGGAGCATGCCCACAGTAAAGAACGACTTGCAGAAAACGATGGATGCCTGCCTGGGCACTGCTACAAAATAAGTAGCAAAAGCAGGGGCAAAAGCTGGGAATGGCTAATTAGAGGCGGTGGCCTATTTTAAAACCTGCAATATTGACCTTGGTTTCTTACTTCCAAGCTCTGCACCACTGGCAACTAGTTACACGTGTCAGATCACGTCATGCTCTGGTGGGTTGTGCATGTGTGATTGCCCTTGTGTAGCACAAGGATGCTTTTCAGATGCATGACGTGCTCATGTTGGAAGCATATTTTACTCTCAGCCAACACCCCCTTGGGTGTGGTCCAATTCCTTTTTCGTTGTGGGGCTCTGCCCTGGGCGTCATAGTCGTCGTTCAGCTGTAACTTTGACAGCTGCAACGAAGCTTCAATCAAGCTCTGCATATTCTATTGTACGGGGGTGGAATGGGGATTTTCGCAGGCTTAGGAGCATACTGTCGGCGTGCCTGCAATGCCTAGCCTGGATACTGAAGCTGTTCACGTGGACAAATACATTTGTGGCAGTGATGCTGAGTTGTTGCGTCATGTTTATTCGGATTCTCAGGGGGGAGGTACAGTCTTTGTGTGTGAGTGTGGATTTCCATCGATTACACACTTGTCAACACAAGACAAGACAGGCACTGTCACCAAGCTGGCGATGTCGGGCAGTGAATGCAAGCACAATGCAATGTCCCCACTTCATGCATGTTTCCACCAAGTGTGCAGGTGTAGGTGGGTGGGTAGGTGGCTGGAGGGGGAGCTGCACTCTTCTGTGTCATTGTTGAGAGGGCCTGGCTTTGCAACTCTGACTGTGAGGGACGCCTCGCTGCTTTGCTTGCTTGCCTCAGCGACTGAGGCACGACTGAGGCTTGGTCGTTTGCTCATTCATTCGTAGGTCCTGCCGAATGCATCTGATGAAACGCTGGACACCTTGGAGGGCACCCTGGCACGCATACCCACAGTGACAGACATGATCCATGATGGACTGGGGCCAGCAGACATGGCGGAGGCCCTCTTTGGGGGCATTGGCGTGGCCCCCGGCGCCGTGGCCCTGACCCCAAGGTGAAGATTATTAACATTTATAAACAGTACATCCCATGCAATGGGCACCACCAGCAATGGCAGTGGGCACTGGGTCCAAGGATCTGGTGCACAAATATAGGAGAAAATTGATGAAGTCTGTCTCACGTTCCCAGCAACCTTGTTCCAAACAGGGCTCGAATGTGCTTGGGTACAAGGCTGGCTGCTCTGGACATGGATGTTGACCTCAATGGGCGAGGCGCAGGCCAACTTGTTGGCAGGTCTGCCCAGCTGCCGAATGCAGCCTCTTCGCTCTGGAGAGTACTGATTGTTTCGTTGGTGACGACTATGCCCCCAGGTATGGCCCCTGCAACCCCGACCGCATTCTGAGGGACCTGCCCCAGGTGCTGGCGGCCATGGGAGAGGAGGAGGTGCGCAAGGTGCTGGACGAACAGGGCTGCATCGAGGCCAGGGACGAATTTTGCAACGAGTGCGTGCAGGTTGGGCCTGAGGAGGTGTTGTCACAGCTGGAGAAGATCAGCCAGGGGGGCCAAGAGGAAAGCTAGCGCAGCAGTCTTGATAAAGGCCAGGGACAGCCCAGCGGGCGCACGGGAAGTCACTTGCCACATGTTGTCAAATGCTCACACTGAGGTCGGAATCCTGCCATCCCCTGGCAGGTGGCTGTGCTGTGGGTTGCCACAATTCAACAAATGCTGCTGCTGACGAGTTCTCGCCTGCTTCCTTAAGTTGGGCCATGGCAAGTTGGCAAAAGATAATGCTGCGAGGCACCCTTGATTGGGGCGATCGCAACGAGGCAGGAGGGTTGGAGGGGAACCAGCCGCATTGATCAATCTGGATTGCTCTGATCGGTGGCTGACGGACCGTGCTAGTCTGGGGCCAAAGGGGCCGGTGCAGCATGCCACAGAGGGTGCGAGCTTGTTACCAAGGGAGTCAAGCAGGAGAGTTGGGAGGGGACGAGTTCGGTGGGATTTGTTGGTCCTGGGAATTTTTTCTGAAGCACATGGGATTGTTTATTGTTTATTGCCAGATTGGGAGCCAGAATCAGAGTAAACTCTCAAGCATCATGACCAAAACATAGCCAGGCCAACATGACATTCAAGTGTATTCCACAGCGCCTGCAGGCCTTGCAACAAAATGAGGAGGCAGCTGGGCTGGCCAGGAACAGCATCGATGCATGCATCCACACACCGATCGGCTGTAACTGATGGAAGCAAAAGGAATCCAAATCAGATGGTTTTATGCCATTCTGGCTTTCTGACGATCTCTTTTCCCAGCTCTTGCTCCAGCTCTTTCTCGGCTTGCTTCCTTGCCCACGTCTCTAGTCGACTGTCTGGTGCAGCATTCAAGCCAACGGCAAGCATCACTGTTGCTATACCAAACGTCAGGTACCTGTGTGACAGAACACAACCGACTCAAAACACAACCAACTCAAGGCTCACAGCCAAGTGCCTATCTACACACACAGAAAAGTGGGGATCATCCCTTGATCACGAAATCGACGTCCCCAGCACAGTCGACTCCATAAAGAATATGCACGGGAAGTTCATATACTGTGAGCAGAGAAACAATTTGGGGGCCATCTGAAGACCACACGAGCGTTGTCCACAGCTTGTTCCACATTTGATAGTTGACATCATTTTGCAGGGCAGCCACCCCAGGCTGTGATATCAGTTTGCCAACTTCCCCTCAAACGACCAGCAAAAATAAGCACACGCAAAGATGGCTGTTGAATGCCGACATATGTTTGGTGAGCACAGGAGCACGGAACACCCCACGACAGCTGCTGCTGTTTTCTGACTCCACTACTGACGTGACCAGCTTGGATGCTTGTGCAAGCGGAACGAAGCAATTATCAGTGCCAAGCATTGTGCAGTGCCAATCATCTGTCGGAGTCAGAGGGAACAATGGTGGTTGGCAGAATGGCTGAGATCGCTTGACCATGCATCGTCCCATCGGCGATACCAATGCCATTCCAGCTGGCATTCCACTGGAGCCATCCACTTTTACCAATCCAAAAGGAATCCTCTCTACCAGACACATTGGAGACGGAAGCAGATCAACCCCGTCTCTTGGGCTCAGACAACATCATCACCAACGCAGAGGGTTTCCGATCGCTACTCTTCCCCCGTCGAGAGCATCCTGTCCAAAGCTGCACCCCAGCTCCAAGACGGAAATGCTGGACCTTCGGGCAAGCCCAAGCGCGTATCCCCACCCCACCCCACCTTTCCCTCCTTGGCGCAACCGACCCCGAACGCATCATCAGGCTGCGGATCCGCAACATCCCCCCGTCTGGCAAGGCCCCCGAAAAATTCTCCACCCCACCTCACCCACCAGCGGATCGGCCCCCCAAACAACAGAAACAGGACTGCCCCGCGTCCGCCACCACCCGCGGTGCCCGACGGGCCCCCTTGGCCCCACGACGGCAAGCCTAAAAGAAACATATACCTTCTTCGCACCTCCAATGCATCACACGTTTCTCCCTTCAAAACTCAAGGGAAGGAAAAGCAAGGCATCTTCTGCAGAACGCCCGCTCACCATGTCGCCTCCCAGCTCTCCCACTTCCGCTGTTGGCCCGGCGGTGGGGGCGTCTCCCCGAACAGGACCCCGTTGCGGCCCGTCTGCTGGCCATCCGCCCAGAAGCCCCCCGGGAATCCGCCGCCCCTCGTCTGCCCCGATCGGAGGGCCTTCAGCGACAGGCGCCTCAGCAGCGACATGGCCGGACAGCACACGCGCACCCGCAAAGCCTGCACGCGCTTTCAAACACCACCAGGTCTTCGGGACGCATGAATGCGAGTTTTTTTACCACCACAGTAGGGCGTAAAAAAAGAGCGGACCAGTGTGCCTCCCTTGGACACCCTGAGCTAGCCCTACACCGCGCTGGCGTGACATAAATAGGAGAGCGCTGGATTCTTCCTTCCTTTCAACATTAACAATTGTACACAAAAAAAAAATTAATAAAGCATCTTTGGAAACATGATTTATTAAATGGGTTTTCAGTGCCAGAGGGTGGCCAGGGAGCGTGATCGAGTAATTCATTATCGCCCGCGAACCAGCCGCGAACCCCGGTCCCCCGGGCTCCGGGCCGGACCGGTTTCGGCCCGCGGCGGGCGCCACGTCGGACGGGGGCGCCCCGGCGGGGGCCCGCCCCTCGGCGGGGGCCGGGGGCCTGGGGTCCGGCGGGTGGGCGCGGGGGGCGTGGCGCCGGCGCCGCCGCCACGCCGGAGTGGCGGCGCACGGGCCAGCGGCCTGCGGCCGCCCCGCGGCGCTCCGCGGCACCGGGGAGATCCGAGCCGGTGCTTGGCGCGGCGCTGGGACGCCGGTTGCGCAATGGCAGCGGGGCCCGCTGCCGGCCGGTCGCGCGCCCGCCTGGACCACAGACAGCGCATCTTCAGGGACCGCTAGGCTCCCCATCGGCCCACTGACCTGGGGCGGCTGCCGCTCTGGGCAGGCAGCTCGTTGCGTTGACGCGGGGCAGCCCATGAGGCGGGCTTGCAGGGTCCGCGTACGCAGCGATCGGCCAGGGTGGACAAATGTTCGAGGTGCAGCCGCACGCCACAAGGCCTCTAGCTGTGAAAGGACAAAGCAAAGCAAAGCAAAAGCCTGCGGGCTGGCAACAGTGTGTGTCGTAGACTTCCAGGGTCGGGGGGGGGGGGTTCACACACCTGTCCTGCAACCTCATGCGCTGGCGGCGGAGCCAGAGGGGGGCCGCGTCCGCCTGAAAAGCATCGGAGAGTCGCCGCTTGCCGTTGGAGAGCATCGGAAAGTCGCTTGCTTGCCGCCTGACGCTCCTGTGGCCGCTCGCCCACTGCCGGCTGGCGCTGGAGGTGTGGGGAGCTGTACAGCAGGGTTGCCAGCTATTGGGTGGGTGTGCGAATTACAAACTCATTCCGCACAACAGCACATTTTGCGCGATCGGTTGGGTGTCCCCTCCGATGCGTGGCTGAGATCTCAATCAGCTTAATGAGCCACTGCAAGATCCTTGGCTGGGCGTGGAGCTGGGAGCGCTGTGGGCGGAGTGCGGAGCGCTGTGGGCGGAGTGCGGAGCGCTGTGGGCGGAGTGCGGAGCGCTGTGGGCGGAGTGCGGAGCGCTGTGGGCGGTGTGGGCGGAGTGCGGAGCGCTGTGGGCGGAGTGCTGTGCGCGGAGTGCCACCGGTTCATCGCTGCCTCGCCAAGGGTGTGTCATGGGGCACTTGCAAGCTTGGCCTTCGCAGCAAGGTGTGGCATCTTTGAGCGGATGAACTGTGTGCGGACATGCATTGACGTTGCGCCACCCTTCATGACGGACTTCGAAGAGCTCATTGGTCAAAACCACCAAGCTGCTGGGGCTGCTGCACTACCAAAGGATGTATGGGAATGCAAAGGTGAATTCTGTGCTGAAGTGCTTGGAAGACATCTCTAACACACCCGAACTTTGTCTGTGTTGCTTATCATGTGCTTCTGACTCCGAGTGGGCCATGTCCATGCATCTCCCGCCGATGTGACAGACAAACAAAATCCAACGAGCGGGTTACCCCCTGGTCGGCCTAGTCTTGCTTGTTGCCCAAGGTGTGTGAATGTGAATATTTTCCTTTGCAGCTTTGCTTCAGTGATCAACCACGAACCTTGGAAGCTACAGGCTGATGTCAGGCGTAAGCCTGTTTGCAGATAGTATGGAGCACAATAAACAAATAAAGAAATAAGCAATGGTACAGCAAAAAATGAAGCATTGGGCAAGTGGGTGAATAATTCCAGTTGTACTCAATATATTCCGACACCCCGTGGCCTGTGCCCCCCCACATGTGCCAATGAGGCATTGTTCAGCTGGTCGCCCTGCTGGCTTGCATGCTTGAATCGTTGCACATATATGTTGGCGTAGGTGTCGTGGATTTGACTTTTGCACACGACGTCCTGGCCGTGCAGTTGCCAGACCTGCTGGAGCACCTCGCCCACTGTGATAATACAGACTCGAGGCAATGTTGCCCTACGGCCTGAAGGCGCTGGTCAAAATGACCAAGGTGCTGGGGCTGGTGCAGTACGAAAAAAATGCATGGGAATGCCCAGGTGAATGCTGTGCTGATGTGCTTGGACAACATCCAGCGCATTCGCACCCATAAATGCAGAAAGACCTGGATGTGGAAGAAGCAGAGGCATTGCGCCCCAGCTTTGTGGCCACACATATGTCAGCTACCATCGAATTGTATGTACCCTGTGGTGGTACATGTTACTGATACTAATATTTAGCCAATTTAGTTAGGTGTTGACTTTGTTCAGATAAGATAACAACATAACAGTGCTGCATGTACTGTTGTGATCACTGATGTTCTTGCCATCGTTTTTACTGTCATTGAAATAGTTTCTTTGCCTTGCACTGGCATTCAGGAACACACTCTGGAACTTCTGTTGTTTGATGAGTTTGTTTGCGCTCTATGGTGTCTTGTGCATGTGTTGCCTGTGTGCATGGATTTTAGCTCCTCAAGTCATTGCTTGTTGTCTGCCAGTTTAACACCTTGCCAGTATGTTTGATGCCTGCTGTCCAGGACATTTCCGTCAGAAGCATTAGCAGAGGGCTCGTTTCAGTGCTTGGACGTTGCATTGATTTTGATGCATTCACACAAAGTCATGCTTGTATCGTCGTGCTTGTGAAGGAACATATTGTCAAGTCCCTGTCCGCATGTGAAACTGAAAGGTGGACCCCAGAACAGTGTTTCTAGTTGGCAGTGCAGACAAGGGCTCTTGCCATGGCATGTGTCTTTGGCCAGTGTCATCGGCCTCTGTGCTTCCGGCTGTCTGCATAACCTCACCATGCCCAGCGAACAAGAGTGCACCCCAATCTAATGCCACAAGGGTACACAATGTGCATCTTCCAAGAGCATACCACAACCACAGCTGATTGGTGCATGTCATTGACAGGACATGGCTTCGATTTATCCTTGTGACCACAAATCTGATTCCTGTTGTGCATCTTTTCAGGACATGATCGAGCTTGAGTTTTAGGATGACCTGTTATGACAGCTGGAGGCATTGTAAGTGGTGTCCTGAAGTCATCCTCAGGCCATGGCTGCGCACAGCGCAGATCCCATCCTGCACCCCTCATGGCAGTGCTGAACAGGTGAAAAAGTGGGGGCCATCATTGCTTACAACTAGTTTTGCAAGAAGATAGTGGTGGACTGTGCAATGTGCCTATGCAAATGCTGGATTCGAGCTGCCATTGGCCCTTCGGCTCGGTGACAATCGATCAGTGAACACAGCTATGCGATGCACAGCTCGCAATATGCAGGGTGTCAAGCACCAGGGTGTGGCCTTGTTGCCGTTGGACCCCTTTTCTCCTTGCTTGTTCCAACATTGCGTGGTTCGTGACTTTGACTTGTTTCTATAATTGGCAAGGAGAAGCAAACCCTGTGTTAGGCTGGCTGCGTGCATTGAAATATGCACTCATTCCTTCGTCGTTGGTTGTTTCTGGTGTGCATGCTTGTAGCTGCTCCAGGCCCTTGCAAAGCAATGCATGCAATGAGGAGTTCCGGAGGCCCACTGACAGTGCTGCGCCTGCCATTGGAAACATAGTTGGCCGCCATTCCGTAGCTGTCAACACTGGCTCAGCATGTGACTCAGAGCCACACAGCACCTGGCTGAAATCCCTTCCCTGAGCAGCGATGTTGCAGAGGCTGTCATCGTACATAAGCAGTTCATTTTTGTGATCGAAGAAGTGGAAATGAATTTTCTGCAGGAAGTCAACCTGAGGCTAGTGCAGGTTTGGGCTGCGCTGACTGCTCATCCATTTGCACACCGTCCTATAATGTGTATTCCATCACTTTATCCATCCAACGGATCTATTGCATCTGGTCACGTCTCAGACATACGTCCCTCGTCCGGAACTAAATGTCCAAATTTGTTTGGGAGGCCACATGTACATCGCGCAAGTGCTAACGTTTCTTTTCTGAAAATCTGGCCAGGGCATCTCCCATGATTGTATTGCTTCCTCCCAAATTTTTGCAGAAAACGGATATGTGTATTAGATTTGGCTGTACTTTCAACCTACGGGGCTCAAACACTGAATTCCAGTTTGCAAAGGTCCCCCCCCCCCCCCCCCCTTCCCTCTTCAATATGGCCTCCAGACAGGGTCGCCTTGCGATTGACGGTACGTGGCGTAGACTGCATAGTTGTGGCCACTGCTTTGGATGTGGGCTTGCAACATATCAGCGAAGCAGCAAGAGTTCTGAATTGAGGTCAGCACCAGTCGATCGTGGATCGCCACTGTTTTTCACCGGCAAACACGATTCTCACCTGGAGATTGGGGTTCCAGAATTCTGAGGACTTCACTTTAACGGCATTGGGAGGATGCAGTGTCACCATTCATGAGTTGCCTACAGGCAATAGGACTCCGGTGACCTTTTCCGAACGAGGCTGTGGTCGCCTCACTGTCCAAGGACTAGAATAGTGCCAGAAATGGTTGTTATGTGCATTCCCACAAGTTGCATTTCTACTCTGACGAGAGAGTTCTCATCCTGCCCACGCAAAACACAAGTGCCGCCAACATGCAGCGTGTTAGGGCCTCCAAGTGTATACGCACAACCTCAATTGCCGCATTAAAGTAGATTCATGTCGTCTTCGGCCTAAATGTTTGAATACCAAGGGGCCCACTAATTGGAGATCCCTAGTGAACGGAGATCCTCACATGCATGCAGCTGTTCTCTGGTTTGTCTTGGGGCACAAGAAACCTCCTGGCAATGGCAGATCCCTAATATGCAGCACATCCTCTGCAAAAAGCGCCATGGATCTTCATAATTTGGTGATGGCCGGAACATACTCAACAGCCATTTCTTGCAGCATCCAGTGCGATCGATGCTGATCCCAGGGGTAGCACATGAGCAACGGGCAGCACCACTCTTTCATCAGCGTGGAGTCCCAAGGAGGGCGCTTCGCTCTTGTGGGGACTTTGTGGGATCCTGGATATACGATTAACTATTTTGTTAATGCATTTCCACCAAGGACGAAGTTGGGTGGGCTGCACTGAAAATGCGAATCAATTGCAGTTGAATTCAAACGGGTTTCTGGCCCCTCTAGTACCTTGGCTAATCAAAGTATATAGTTTCCAAGGGCCATCATTTTGGCGCCCTTGGACTTCTGGGGGCTTTGGCGGGGCTAAGCGGAGGCAGCTATCTAGGCTCCCCCCTCTGTCCCCATCATATCTTGCTTCACATCACGCCAGCTCATCAGCACAACCTAGAGGCACCGAGTGCTTTGCCCTCCCCGGCCGTTCTGGCCGAGTTTTTTCTATGAACCTGATGCGTGTCGAACACTGGGTGCATGACCGTTCCGGACAGCTTGGTCGTCCGGCTCAATGATGGTTTGCTTATGGCTGCCCTCAATGACTTGTGGCTGCTGGGCCCTCGGCGCTTGCTATGGCCAGTCACCAATTTGGTGGTCCAACCGCCCGGTGTCCGTTTCCCCGAGTGGTTCGACGTTAGGCAGACCTCTGAATGTACATAACTTGTGCCGGCGCTCGGCTGAACTCTGGCTACTTCCAAGGGCACCCAAACCGGGCGCCCTACGTTGCATGGCTCTTCAACCTGACCTGTGCTCTGGTTGACTTTGCTGCGCATCAAGAATTCCTGCCCATCTTTAGGGACGGCCTCCTACAATGCCTCCATGCCCTCGTGACGATTATCACCAAATTGTAGAGCCTAGTCTGCCTTCAATAGGTCCATGGGGAGCAGAAGGGCAAATCCCTTGATGGGTCGTGGCACATGCTTCAAACGTTCATTTGGGCGTGGTGCATCAGCATTGTTGGGACCCAATGATCGACGACCCGTTGGAGCACATATGAAAGGAGGTGCTCAATCAACAACTAAATTTAGTGACCGGGTCAGTGACATCCAAGAACCAAGATAGCTTTGACCGTCTGCTCCACTGGCGCAACATCTTTTGGCGCCCAGCAGGTCAAGGGAAATATGGCCAAAGTTGGGGCAGGTCATGGAGCACCCCTAGCTCCTCCCAAGCCAACGTCTAGAGGACCCTCCCTACATTTACCTCAAGGGCCACCTCACTGCGCTGTTGAAGGACATCCCGTGTGATCGCCATTTCCTGGCTGATGGATCACAGTCCTTTCGAAACCAACTTTTTACACTTTCGTTCCTCACAATATCATCATCATGGCACAACCTTCTTCTTCAAAGACACCAGACACAACCACAAACAACATTCTCACTTCTGGTTCACTTGTCCATATTACAATGTCATCTAACTATCACAGACAACCCCGAAACATAAACTACCCAATTGACACGCCTTCTGTGCGACTTCCCTGCACTTCACAATCTGACGGAATCTCCTCCCCTGTGCTATACTTTTCTTCCACTTCCCTGGAACGAAACTGATCAGTGTTGTTCCTTCCTTTTGCTTTTTGCAAAGCCACAACATGCTCCACCTGCTTTTCTCGTAGCGTTTCCGTCAATTCTTGACGGATAAAGTTCCTTGCCTCTTGAAGTAGGCCTTCACAATCTGCCCAATGTGCAGCAATGAACGACTGCACCTCCAGGGGTAGGTGACGGAGTTCCAGAGTGGACATAAGGTGTGGTGGAAGTTCCATCTGCTCCACCCAAATACATTCGACTACTACCCTTTTCAGGAACGGGATCCCCTCAGTTGACTCAGCGTTTTCCCCTTTTCCACATCTTCTCTTTTGGTGCCTTCCCCTATTTCGGCTGGCAGATGACGGGCGGCAATACACGCGTTTGAATTCACTGTTTCTTGATCCCTCTAGATTGTGGTACACAACTGACT